TATACTCCCTCTGTCCCATATTATATGTCTTTTTAGAGAGTTTTTTTTGTCCCAAATTATTTGTCATTTTACATTTTCAATGAAGCATTAATTGCATTATTTTCAATTTTACCCTTAATTACTCCTAATTAATTAGTTGAGAATCAATTAATGTCGAAGATATTTTAGTAATTTTATCAGTTTTTTACTATAATCTATGCACATTTATTAATTTTCTTAATATGTGCAAAACAACCCAAAACGACATTTAAATTGGGACGGAGGGAGTATCTTTCTGAAATCCAATATTTGCAGCCTATTACCGTACATATTGAACAATGTATGATAGATTATTCTATCATATTAATGAAAAAAAACAAATGATGATATTTGCACAAAGTATTACAGAAGTCCACAAATATGTTTAAATTTTAGAAAACAATACGCATTTAGACTAAAAGACTTTCTTGAGAAATTGGGAGTCTTAGGCGAGTTTTAAAAAATTACAAAAATGGGCCCCTATTTTGTAAAATGTGCACATTAATTCATTTTAATGAGAATGACTGGACAAGAATTTTGGTTAACAGTTAAGAAGTATGGAGAAAATATGTCTAAAATATTGACAAAAGTTATGGTAGTTAAATTAAAAGTTTATGTGGCCGATTTGGGCAGTACTTCAAAGGTTTTTTTTAAATAGTCATAGCAATATTATTGAACAAGTAAATATACGTAACATTTGTTTAAATATAATAAAATAAAATATAGTATATTTCAACTTGCTGGAAGTCTTTGAAGTTGGAGATAGACAGTATAGATTATTAAAAACTCCAAAGATTGTTGGAAAGAAAGTTAAAATCTTGAAATAGATAAAAATGTGATTGAAGAACTCAATATCTAACTAATTATAATTGATCTAAGACACTTCATTCACATTAAATGAAAGAATAAGTGTAAAATTTACTCAAAAAAAAAAAAAAAAAAAGAATAAGTGTAAAAAATTTCAACAAATAATACTTAAACTAAAATAATAATACACTTATGGTTATTCAAATTGCTGAACAACTTAAATATGTTAAAATATTATTTAGGGGTCCCTAATTTCTTATAAAAAACGAGTGGCCCGAGGCGACTACTTCTCCCACCTATAGTCAGAATCGGCCTAAACATATCTAGAGATAAGAGTTATAAGAATAAAATTAGAAGACATTAATTAATGCATTATAGAAAATCTAAAGCGATATATAATATGGAACATTAACTTCTTCTTTTTGTCTGAAAAACGATAGATAATTTGTAAGGCGGAAAATTTTACTTATTTTTTATTAATTTTTTGAATTTTCTTTAGTGTGAAAACGACCTTACTATCAACTGCACTTACCGATTCTGGATAAATATTATCCAAATTAAGATCTCAATATTGTATGTTACATCTTTATCAAGAATGCATACTAATGGCGATCGATTATATTATATATGTATATCAATCTCTAGCAACATTAATTATTAAATATAAGATAAATTACAACCACTGCTGATGTGGTCAAATTACGAAAACCCTTCTCCTATTTGAGTAATTACAACCACTCCCTTAACTATAAATATTTTTAAATATCCACCATTGCGGTTTCAAATTTAGTGGAATTTTGAGATTATATGGAATATTATCACTTTTGTACCTGTTTTATCTCATTCGAACTTCACATTTTGAAGCAAGATGATCATAATATGTGTTTTTCAGCATGTATATATCAGATTGTGGTGCATCAGAAACTGCATTTTTATACAAAACGAGTACAAACTAGAGCACATTTTACGAAATCTAGATATATATATGTTGAATTTGACACTATAAGAGTGAAGGTGACATAAAAAATCATAATTGAAGGTAGATGTAATTATCCAAACAAGAGGGAGTTTTTCGTAAATTAACCATACCTCAGGGTGGTTGTAATTTACCCTTAAATATAATCAATGAATTGTTTGCTTAGTTGTAATTTCCTTTGCGCACACACACACATTCATCTCGCCTACAAAAACAAAAGAGGCTGACGACATCCAAAATAGTACAAGTTGGAGCCCTAAAAGCCTCCGGAATATTGGCCAACTTCTATCAATCATCTTTTATCACAAAATATATAGTTAATTAAATGTAAAAAATGTTTTTATTTTTGTTTATAATATTTAATTGATCTCGATCGCTTACAAAGTTAAAATTGTGAGATCATCAAGTTGGAGAGTTGATCGAGAATATACAATGCATTTGGCGTTCAGGGTCGGTCCTGAAATTTTAAAGGCTCTAACAAATTCGAAAAAAGTAGCCCAAACATTCTTCTACATTATTTAATTTTCTTCATTATTAATAGGATTTTTTTTTTTTTACAAAATCTTGAAACAAATCTAGCATCGTGATAATAATGGGGAAAATAAAAAATACTTAAAACGTTGTTGGATATTCATAAAATAATATTTAATGCAAATATGTTTTTTTTTATTTTTTCTCTCCCAAAATCAACTGGATTTCCAAATGAAGAATAAAAAAATATGTGAATGAAATAACACAATTTTACTCTTGTGTGCATGATTTTAGAATTAAATTTCTTTCATATAATGACTACACACATAAAATAATATTATTATTCAATAATTAAGCTGAAAAGACACAAGCACAACCAATTTCCAAGAAACTAAAAGGAATCGATCATTTATGAAAGAAAACTAGATATTGGATTTAGAGATAGGCAGTGGCGAAATCAGCATAACACTATTGTTCAGGTTCAAGTTTTGAGTGAGCTTGAGCCGGAACGTGAATATGAAGGTTCATGGCCGGTTCAAAATTCTTGCTGGTTCGAATGAATCGCCGGTCCGATTCGGCAGTTTATTATTATTTTTAACTATTTTTATTTGTATATAAATGATTTTTTAAGAAAAATAAAAATGTATTATACTTACAGAACCTTTGAAAAAAATATTTATAATTTAAAAAAAAATTAAATAAAAATACTTGTAAAAAAGTTAAAATAATTCTTTATACTTGTAAAAAACTAAAAACTTAAAAAAAATTATTATACTTGTAAAAGTTTAAAAAACTATATTTAATAGTACTTCTAAATTTTTTAAAGAAATATTATATATACTAGTAAACCATTCAAAATAATTATACTTGTAAAACATTAAAAAGGAAAAATAAAGAAAAATTCAAAGGGCTTGCACTTAATTATTATTTTCTTTTGTAAATATGACCGTTATCGAGCCTTGGTGGTTGAGTTTTTGCTGATTTTGCATTCACCCCGTATTTAAAATCCCGGCTCCGCTACTGGAGATATGTTGAGTTAGAAGATAAAAGTTGTTTTATATTTTCTACTAAGTTATTGGGATTTTAAAGTGTTTTTAATTTTGAATTATATATGTATTAATTGGTTGGTTCACTGCATGCAAGCAAGCTACAATTGAGGAGTAGTGAAAGAAGAGTGTTCACTCGAGAAACCTAAATTGCAAACATATTTAAAAATTATTAAGGACCTTTTTGTTTTCCTAATTTATGACATTTTATGTATTTATTAGAAAAGAACTATTAGTTTAAGCATTTCAATATTAAAGATATTATTTTCAATATTACTAACGACCATATTGTTAAATAAACATAAAATTTTTAAAATCGACGAATATTAGTTGATATTGATCATCGTGCGTAAAGAAATTAAAAAATTACTTTGAAAAATATTAAAATCTAAGATATATTTTGGTATATCTAATACAAATATTCAAAGTTATGAAAAGACAAATATAAAAGTGCAATTATTAACTATATGACATTGGCTTGTTCACAAATAGTAATTGCCTACACAATGTTTAACTAATGATGTTAAATTTGTTCATGACTATACTAGGAATAATTAGTTATTATTTTTCACTAATTAACATCAGTAGATTACTATGTAATAAGGAAACTTCAACTTCTTAACGTATTCGCGTTTCAAACTCATTTCGTTTCCAAAACTCGAGGACAGCGCTCGGACACCTCATGAGCCATTTTGTAATTTATAAGAAGTTAGAAACATGTTTGCATAGCAAATTTCCCAAATATTTTTGTTGATTCCCTAATTATTTAAATGATTTATTGATAAATATTGATAGTTGATAATAATATTTATTTTAAATATATTTCTATGGAAATATATAAACAAAATAATATATAATAAAAACTTATATATGTTATTTTAACTTATTTATATATTTTTTGAACACAACATATTTATAATAAATATACTCCTATACTTTTAAAATTTACACGTTTTCTCCAAATTCTCGTATTCACAATTTTCGGGACATGTAGTTTCCCCGTGTCCATTTTTCAGTTTTCTCGTATCACCGTTTCCGTATCCATGCTACATAGTTAGATCATATACACACTAACCACACCATCTTCTAATTAACTATCATTTTTTCCTTGATTTTTTTTTAGTGGAAACCAAATTAAACCGTACATGTAAATATTGTGTGTGTTTGAAAAAAAAAAATACAAACCCTAGAAAAAAAAAAAAAAAAAGGTTGTACAAAGCTGTAGAGGTGCTGGATATGGAAAAATCCACACACCCCATTATTTCATCATTTCATAGTATACCAAAAAGGTTGGTCCCATTTCCCACATTTATTTATTAATTAATTAATTAATTAATTAAATAATATATGAATTCCACCCCCTTCACTTTACAAAAATCGTACAATTTTCCCCCTTTCTCTCTCTCCTCTCACTTTCTCTCTCTAGCTGCTTCATTTAAAAAGCTGGCACAGCACCTCATCCAAGATTGCTTCTGATCAGTTCTTCTGCACTCAAAAGCATCATCACCTCTCTGCACACAAAATTCAGAAGCTCAAATTAAGGAGTTGACAATTTTTTTCCTTTTTTTCCTTTTTTTTTTTGTTTTTTCCCTTTTTACCCCCCTAACCCACCATCTTTCTCGTACAAAAAGCAAGATCACACACACACACACACATATATATATATATATATATAATATTTCATGGATATCAGCCAGCAACACAAGTTCACAAACACCAACTGGCCGGAGCAGCCATACTGCAGCATGGTCGCCGCCGACGAACACCACCATATTCTTCATCAAAACCCTTTCGATCACACACAGCAAATATGGCCTTACAATAATAATAATAATTATCTTCAGATTCTTCAGCATCAACAGAACCACCAGGAGCCGCCGCCGCCGGATCACTCTTCGGACACCCAGGCGCTTCTGCCGTCGCCGGGTTTGCTGACCGGCGGCGGCGGCGACCAGGGTGAAGAAGACGAGGCGGAAGAAGAGCTGGGCGCCATGAAAGAGATGATGTTCAAGATCGCGGCAATGCAACCGGTCGACATCGATCCGGCGACAATCCGCCGCCCACGTCGCCGGAACGTGCGGATCAGCGAGGACCCGCAGAGCATCGCCGCCCGCCACCGCCGCGAGAGGATAAGTGAGAAGATCAGGATCTTGCAGAGGCTCGTGCCTGGGGGTACGAAAATGGACACAGCTTCCATGCTTGACGAAGCCATACGCTACGTTAAGTTCTTGAAACGCCAAATCCGTACCCTCCAAACCAACCACCACCAGCACCAGCCGCCGCCGCCGTGCGTCGGAATCCCCACAGCCTCCGCCTCCGCCGACGATTGGGTTATGGCGGCAACAACAAAAGCCGCCGCCGCTGCAGGCACGTCATCCTACTTGTTTGGAGGTACTCATGATGATGATGGGTTGTGTTTTAACCGTAAGTTTATTGGAGATTAAATTTATTATATATAGTTTGATTTGTTGTTATGGGTATTAATTATTAAACTAAAGTGTTATAAATTAAATTTTTATAAGGTTTAATTTAATTAAATTGCTGTATTAAAAGAATTATTAATATTCCCATGAGAGATGATGATAAGAGAAAAATGGTTTGTTATGATTTCGTTGACTATATCGGCCATCGGAATAATCACAAAAAACGGTTAGCTCTGCTGATTTATTTATTTATTGTCTGTATCTTATAATAATGTGTGTGTATATATATATATATATATATATATATATATACACGCACACAATAAAAAATTAAAGGCTTTGGCACTTTGAAAGTTCTTTTGGTCTAATTGATCAATTCCTTCCCCGGAATAAAACAGTGATGTAAGAAGCCTTTGATCAATATCATGCATGATTACACACACACTCTCTCTCTAGATCTCTCTCTCTCTCTAGATCTCTTACTTACAGATACACACACAAACAGATATGATGCAAGTGCGTGCCTATGCGTGTATGCAGGTTAATTCATGGAAGATATATATACTTAAGTAAATTGATTAATTCTAGTGAGTATATTTGTGTGTGTGTGTGTGTGTGATGATTGTATGTATATAATGTGATGGGACTGCATATATCATATCAGAGAGATTCATCATCATCGATCAAACCCTAGCTATTCTGCTGCCCAAGAGCTTCGCTTTAATTGATTAAAAAGATTTGCGCAAGTATAATTAACATCAATTAATTAATTACCACTCAACCGTTAATTTCTTCCTCCAGCTGATTTAAACAATATTTTTAACCACCAGTACACTTTTGGCTTGTCCAGAGATAGAGATATATCTCAATTCTCAAAAATGTCTTGTAGATAACTTGTGTAACCACTCACCAGTAAACAGTAATGAAGGTACTATATATATATATATAT